AATAGTAACTTTAGATAACTCACCTTGATAAAGTGATGTTGAGAGATCCTTTTTCGTTGAATCGTCTTTCGATCAAGTATTTATAGTAATCTGTTTTAGTTGCTATAAATGACCAAGCCAAATTAATTTCATAACACCAGGAAACACGATAACATTAATGTATTGGTTATTTTGACGACCTATATGATATTTATCCACACTATCATGTTATGTCCACATACTAAGATGCTTAGATTATACAAATAAGAATGCAAATTTGTTACAATAGGATATGAAATTTTTTTCCGCAGGACGTACAAAGCTTATTTAGACTTCGCTTGTTACCAAATTCAATTCAATTTATTTCTAATCAGATATAATTTCCTCTAGACTTTAATTTATTTTATTTTCCTTATTGACTTTAGAATTAGTCTGTTACGTGATTATTAATATGGAAGTACAAAGTATACAGTTCTAAAATTGATCTAAGATGACTAAACATATGTGGTTAAATAGTATAACATTATCAAAATGATAAATCTAGGGAAAAACAGAAAGAATTAAAATTGAACTTAAAAACAATAAACACTCTCTTCTGACGTCAAACACGCGATTCTACGCCAGTGTAAATGTTAAAATTACGATCCGGATCCAGTGCTTAAAATCCCTCGATCCTTAATGGGTTGATTTGGCATACAAAATTAAGTAAGCAATGAACGAGGTTGTTAAATGTGATATATGCTTTTTTGTGCTTCTTTGTTAAATATTGGTTTGTTTTTGTTGTGATTAAGATTGTGACACGGTGTTGACTGCTGTACCCCTATTTTGACATTTGTACCTATTATGTCTGTTTGTTTTATTCACGCATCATTGTCAATATAATGGAATTTGATGCGACTGTCATACAAGTTAGAGGTTTAGCGCTATAAAACCAGGCTCAATCCACCATTTTCTACATAAGACATCTGTTTACGAAATATAAATATACGTTTTTGTTAATATTTATTAGTATTGAAAATCCCCAAAAATATTTGATTATCATAAACTACAATTGGAATGATTAATAAATTAAATCATTACATCACTGAATTATACTAAAACGAAAGTCACATTTAGGGTGCAAAATGAGATGAAATAAAAATGCCTCCTTTTAACTACTTTAAATAGAAAATAAAAGAAATATAGAATAACACCCTTTAGATGTTCCCAGGACATTTTATCATGTCAGATATTTGAATCTTTGTATATTATTGACTTTTTTCCTCAAAATTTCCGTTACGGTTTAATTATGACCAACAGTAGTTTACTGATGAATATTCAAACCTTAAACTCCATTCATAACATACAAATAAAGGAAAAAAAGATAAATTGAGGGAGTAGAATGATCTCTTAAAGTGATACCGGCGTGTCGACAGGGTAAGCGACACGAATCCACATAATATGTCACAATAGGGAAAAGGAAACAATCTGTAATTTATAGATCAGACGAATATTCTGACATTAAGTCGTTTGTAATTTGAGACACAGACACATCGTATCGAGAAATCAAATTGTGATGGTGGAAGTGTCGGTTAGAGTCGTTCTTATTCATAACCCTGTCTAAAAATATACATTTTCACATACTCTTTTTTTGTACCTCTGTAAAGTTCGAAGCGTCTGTTCATTGCTCAGATTGCAGAGAAGGCTATTCAATAAGGTTCCTTTATCAAATCGTTTTACCCCACAAGTTGTAGTGCGTATACGTGGTGGTTGTATACTCATAACAGAGATCGTGACGGCTGGTACAGACTAACTACACTTACCGTTATCTTGATGATATTTTTTCGTTACATAATCAAGAATTTTCTAAATGTATTGCCGAAATTTACCCATTGAAACTTACTTTAAATAAATCAAATATAAGCGGTAACTGTCCTTTCCTAGATTTAGATATTTCAGTTCTACACAAACGTTTACGACAAAAGGGACGATTTTTTTTTTCCCTATTGTTAATTTTCCTTTTTTGAACTGTGATGTTTCTTTGGCACCATCTTACGGTGTATATATCACAACTCGTTCGAAGTACTGACGTTTCGGATTTTAATGAACGTAACATAAGTATTACTGGTAAATTATTAAGTCAGGGATTTCGTAACCACACATTACTTAAAACCTTTACTAAATTCTTCCATAGATACAATGATTTGGTTTTTGAAGTTTAGCTGTACCTGTGAAGGAAAACCTATTTCAAACGGGAAAGTACATCCTAATTTTTTACGGAGATGTGATTTATCGAGCCCGGAAATTAAGATGCGTTCCTGGTAAACTTATCGATCCTTTAAATAAACATATTCAAAAAGATTCCCAATGCAATACTGTAATTATATCTTTGAATAATGTTTTTATTGGTATAAAAATTGATTTTGTTATCAGTAAATTAAAATCAAACTAAATATTATTGTTATATACATATGCACGTTCATTGCTCTACAAGTTGTTGATACCTGTATCTTGATCACAAGGTCATGTTTTTCTCTGACTGTTAATGATGTCTTTATACGAAGTCCATTGGATGTTGGATGTGTACTGATTGATATTTTAGTCTTAGATGCATGATTTTTTACAAGTTGTTATTGGCTTTGAACTAGCTGTCAGTAACTGCGAGTACTCTCAGATCTGAACTTACTTTTTTTTGTCGGGATGTATTAATACCCTGCCACATCCAGTCTGTGTTTTTGTTAGATGTTTTTCTGCTTTGTGTCGATTTGACGAGTTAAGCCAATTTCAACTGATTTGTATAGTTTGTTCTTATGTTGTACTATTACACAACCGTCCCAGGTTACAGGAAGTGTTTGGCACCAGCAAACTGGTTTAACCCCGCAATATTGTGTATGTGTCTGTCCCAAGTCAGCAGCCTGTACTTCAGTGGTTGTCGTTGCTGTATATCATATTTGTGTTTCTATCATTGTTTTGTACATAAATCAGGCCATTAGTTTCCTGGTTTGAATTATTGTACATTTGTCATTTCGGGGCCTTTTATAGCTTACATGGGGTATGGGTTTTGCTCATTGTTGAAGGCCGTACGGTGACCTAAAGATGTTAACTTCTATGCCCTTTGGTTTCTGGTGGAGAGTCGTCTCATTGGCAATCTTACCACATCTTCTTATTTTCATAACAAGTTCTTTTAGGTACATAGAAGCACGATTGTATATGGTTTTGAATGTGTACAGCAGCAGTATCGTACTGAAAGCCAATTGAGTGATATGGGAACAGTTGTAATAAGGTGACCAGTGTAGCAACTGTATTCTAAACACGTTAAAACTTATATAATAAAGATACATTTGTCCTGTACATTAATGCAGGCGTTCCAAGTCATGCCGAGTGATTAGAAGTTTAATGATTTAAGTTTTAAACACGCCCTTTGTTTCAAATGATCAAATGCGTCCAATATTGCAAATTTGAAAAAAGCATGATTACGATATTGCACTAGTTTGTTTTTCCGTACTTAATGTCTTGCCAAAGAAAAAAACCCATGTTTTTTAAATAATGAAGGACAAGTAACGAAAGATGCATCGAAAGTAAGGCGGCAATATGATAAGTTCTTTCTTCAATGTTTAGAAGCAAAAACAATAAGCTCAACCTTGTCCTGATTAAATTTGAACTCATCCACACACTTATGTCTGTCGAACAGACCTCCAGTCTTTTTGATACTACATTCCAGTTATCAAGTTGTTTGATTACAAGATACACTTGAGCGTCATGGTAGCTACTCATATTGTGATGTCGGAAAGTTTTCTCAAAAGGTTTAGGACACTACAATTTTACGGAAATTGTGGCACGCCATAATGTAGCTGCATGTTATCTGGTAGCATTCAATTAATAGCAATATGTTACGGTATGTTGCTTGGGTAAGATTTAATTCATGAAAAGGACATTGCCGGATATTCCAGAAATATTTCAGACGTTTAATCAGAATTGGATGATCAATAACGTCAAAAACAGTAGATAAATTCAACACTACAACAACAGCGAAACAGTTGTTATCAAGTGTTAATTCATCTGTTGCATCAATAACTGGTCTATCGTTTTATGAAAGATATTACAATTTGATCACTGTCTTGGACATATGCATATATAAATAAGGTTTTAAATTCTTACTTTACAATATTTTTGTTCTTATAGCAAGATAATATGTCGTCAAATTATCATTATTACTATGACAATTTTTAAACAATTTCAAAGGAAGCTTCGTAAGTGAAATAAGAGGCAAGCCTTCCTTCCCCTCTTAATTTTTTTGTATGCTATGATTAAAGTTTCCAAGATTTTTCATATAAAACACAAATTAGGCAAAATTATGTAATAATAAACAAATGATATACATAACGAATCCAAAGACCATTGTGACTTATTTTTTTGTTGTACCAATTGAATCTTTAACATTTTTTATCATTTCTGGACTAAAGTGTCCAGATGATATTTGTATTTATACATCCTTGTCTATCAAATATTCGACTTTGAGACTTCCTGATGAAGGTAAATCCAGAAAACATTGTTATTAAAGGGTAACAACTTCAATAAGGTCTCAACTGATGATTTCGACCATGTTGACTTATTTGTAGATCTTGTCTTGCTGCTCATTTTTGCCATCTAAAGTTTCTGTCTATCTGTTATAGTTTTCGGGATAATAAGACAAAAATGAGGTCATCAGACACATTTTTTAAACTAGATACCCCATTGATTATTGTTGCCAAGTTTGGTTAAATTCAACAACTGATGACAACGTTAAAATCATATTTAATGGCAACAACAGGGGTAAAATGACAATCTCCCTATGTTAACCTATTTATAGAACTTGTTAGCTGATCATTTTCACTGTTTTCACCAAAAAATCAAATATAACCATCATTAAAGGGCAGTAATTCCATGTTTGACTTATTTGGAGATCATGTTTTGCTGACCATTTTTGCTTTTAAAGTTTCTATATATCTATTATAGTTTTCAAGATACTAGACATGGGGATAACATCCAGAAACAATTTTTTTTTACAATATTGCAGCTGCTGTAACCTTGACCTATTGATCCTAAAACCAATAGGGGTTCTTTCTCACCCCATTGGTCATTATCAAACCAAATTTGATTAAGATATTATTTATGGCTCAAACATTTTATTTGGAAACCTAATATTGACGTCAGGATATCCAGACAGCATCCATGCATCATATTATAAGCTGAAACTTCTTTGCATTTCTTTATGTTTATATGTTTTTGGGTTGTATTTCTCAATATTACGTCATGATATCTTGGATCTTTGTTCCTCAAGGTTACGCTACTGTATATATAGGATCCATGTTCTTTAATCTAATGTTAATGATTTTTTGAGGCAACATTTCTCAATATTACGTCATGATATCTTGAATCTCTGTTCCTCAAGGTTACGCTACTGTATATATAGGATCCATGTTCCTCAATCATATGTTTATGTATTCTTGGGCAATGTTTCTCAATTATTACATCATGATATCTTGGATCTTTGTTCCTCAGGGTTAACTGATGGTACACTTTAAATCACTGTTTGATATTACTCAACCTCACAATTGATTCCAACAATAAATTACGATCCTCCTGCTTGAGGTAATCCATTGGATCTGTGTAATATATGTAGCTTCTTTCTTTTCCATTTACATTATTTAGGAATAAATCTTTCATATGGTTAACACTGTATTCAAGTAATGTAAAAGTCACCTGAAAACACAAATAATGAAATGTCATTACAGCATTTATCATGTTTATACTTTAAAAATACCTTTAAGCAGGACACTTCAAAGCAGACATGAGAAAAAGCAAAGACTAAGAACAATATATTTGGGGAGTTACTATGGTTACCTGGCGAGTTTATATCAATTGATTGTTTCAGTCATATTGACATTTTAGTAAATCTTGAATTGCTGATCATTTTTGCTGTTTACAGTTTCTGTCTATTATTTTACTTTTCATTAAAGATAATAAAAAGAACTTTGAAATTTGTTACAAATCATCATTCAAGGGCAAGACTGAAACTTCAAACCATAAAGAATCTGTATACTAAATATGAATTAACAAGCTCTTTTATCTCTGAAATACAAAACTTTATAAAATAAATGAAGAATGTGTCCATGGGATACAGATGTCCCCGCTTGAAAATATATGGCAAATTCTTCAATGAACAAATTTTTCAATTTACAAAGGGACATAACTCAAGAACGGCGAAAGTGACACCCCCAAAAGTCGAACTTGATTTGTGTTTGGTGGTTATAAGCATTGTGTATAAGTTCCATAACATTTGATTGATGCAAACTAAAATTAGATTGCGGAAACTGCAAATTTGACAATTTTCCCATTTATAAAGGAACTCAAGAACGGTGAAAGTGAAGCCAACCAAATTCAAACTTGATCTGTGTTTGGTGGTCATATGTGTTGTGTATAAGTTTCATAACATTTGGTTGAGGCAAACTAAGTTAGAGAATGCTAATGACAGGGGCATAAAAAAAAGAACATCCCCATGTGTTGCAATCAATGAAATTCAGTGCATGCAAGAAAATAATGGGTAGACTAAGCAATGTTATAAAGTTCATCTCAGCTATACACATAAACATTTACAAGAACAAAACTATTCCTTACTTGGGACAGGCCCATTAAGACATGGGGGAGGTTAAGCTAGTTTCCCTAATTTTTTTAATCACTATCAGTGGAATGACCATAGCTACATTGAAGACCCAATTTTCTACCTGATGTCTATTCCATAAATCTCTTACCTGGGTTCCCATAACGATCATTCCAGGAATGAACTTTTTAGTCTTCTCCTTGGTGAAATGTTGACCGGTATATAGCTGAGAAAGCACTAGAAGTTGTCCACCATGCTGTGCTAATAGTTTTGGGGGAATTCTCTTGAAAATATGTGGTTTCCCATGAACAGTTTCCTCATCATAATCTGATTGTTCACTATCACCAGATGATGATGATAATGATGATGATGATGGTTCAGGCTCTTTCTGACTGGTTTTCTTAAATCTTGTATGTCCATGATGACAATAACGCATACTTTTATCCACAAATTGCATCTGAAATTTTAAACAATGTTTGTTTGTTATTGCTTTTCTTATTAGGTCCTTTTTTGTCCCCCATGCGACACTTTTCAAGGAACATAGAAATATCCAGTGTCTGTTTGTCCAGTCTTGTAAGCGCTCTCACATGTACAACACTTGCCTGATTTTCATGAAATTAAATCAAAGGTTTATATCAGCAATGTCTCAGACAAGTTCCAAAATAAGTACTAATCAACTACTTTTAAAAGAGTTATGCCCTTGGAAATATGAATTATAAGAAAAATTGCATTGAAAGCGCTCTAAAATGAACAGTTCTTGCCAGATTTTCATCAAGTTTATATCAAAGGTTTATATCAGCAGTGTGTGGGATATGTACAAAATTATCAGTGTCAATTAACTATTTTTAAAAAAGAGTTATGCCCATTGGAAATATTCATTATATGAAAAATTGCATTGCATTGCACTCCCAATAGATATAAGAAGATGTGGTATGAGTGCCAATGAGACAACTCTCCATCCAAGTAAAAATTTATAAAAGTCTACATTTCTTCAAGGATTGTTACGAAATTTATGTTTTAGCTTTATTTCAGCAATGTCTAGCAAGGTCAAAAATCAGTGCGGATCAACTAATTTAGAAAAGAGATATGCATTTTGAAAATATTGCTTATATGGAAAATTGAGTTGTTAGCGTTCTCAATATAAGAATAAGAAGATGCGGCATAAATGCCAATCAGACAACTCTCCACAAGGGACTAAATGACACAGAAATTAACAACTATAGGTCACCGTATGGCCTTCAACAATGAGTTAAACCCATACCGCATAGTCAGCTTTAAAAGGCCCCAAAATGACAAATGTAAAACAATTCAAACGAGAAATCTAACTAATTTTGTATTATTCCAAGAGTTCTAAGTGGTGAAGTTGAAATCATCCCTTCGAAAATTTTACGGACGCCATCACGAGTTGGTTGACCGTTATGGAATATCCGTTTCCCAGATGATAGCGGACATGTTCCAAGTGTCCTAACTACAATCCCGTCCCCTTTTACCCGAATGTGACCTACCGATTAAGACTTATTACATGGTTTGTACTAACATGAGAAACAGGATGGGTGCCATATGTGGAGCAGGATCTGCTTACCCTTCCGGAGCACCTGAGATCACCCTGTTTTTGGTTGGGTTCGTGTTGCTCAGTCTTTAGTTTTCTATGTTGTGTTTTGTGTACTATTGTTTGTCTCTTTGTCTTTTTCTTTTTTAGCCATGGCGTTGTCAGTTAATTTTTGACTTATGAGTTTGAATGTCCCTTTGGTATCTTTCGCCTCTCTTGTAGTTTCAAGTCAATAGAAACACAGAATTGAATTTAACAGAAATGATGAGACATGTTCATTAGTGAAGCAGTAACTGCTGACCCTTAGGCAGGGTTCACTTTTTTTATGTTACTGTTGCTCAGCCTGTATTTGTACTGTGCAGTGTTTTGATGACTGTTGTTTTCAGCCAAGATACAGTATGTCTTTTTATGACTTGTTGTTTTTTATCACCCATTGGTATCTTCTAAAAGCTCCAAAGAGTACATGTCGCTCACCTGGTTTCTATACCCGATTTAAAAGTGGCTACAAATTTTTAAACTTGTTAAAAAAAGGAACTTTCATGACTTGTGGCAAATTCAAATTGTGATCTTACCTCTGCAACAGACACAGCACACACCGCTCTGGGATTTTCAAGTATGTTTCCAGAAAGAATCACAACATCTGGTTCTGTTGTCACACTTTTCTGAAGAATGTTCATAGTCGACTTGAACATTGCTCCTGGACTGAAAACACAGAAAATATTAATCCATATATGATAATGTATACAAAATGAATAAAAGAATGAAAAGGGATGTGAGGTTATGGTCAGTGCGACAGCAATCAAACATCAACAAAAACCCTAGTTACAGAAGTCAACTAAGAAAAATATATTCCAGTATTCTAACTGTCTAACACTAAATAATAGCTTCAATAGGAGCCTGTAGTTCAGTGGTTGTCGTCGGTTCATGTTTGTCATATTTGTTTTTCGCAAATTGTTTTGTTATAAATTAGGCCGTTAGTTTTCACAATTGAATTGTTTCATATTTTTCATGTGGGGCCTATTATAGCTGACAATACCATATGGGTTTTTCTCATTGTTGAAGGCCATATGGTTGCCTATATTCACTAAAATCAACTTATTTTGAACTTCGGTGAATAGTTGTCTTATTGGCAATCATACCACAATCTCCTTATTTTTATATCAATACTGTATTGAATAAGCTCTGAAAAAATAATTGAATGTCCATCTGTATATATAATTATTGTACTCATTTAAGATATTGCTGTTATAAACCATTCACATCAATTTTTTTTATCATTTTGTCATTGATTGCTTTTGTATTGGACTAACGTACATACCAAGCTAAAATACCAGTCATTCTTATAAATATTGTAAACAAATCTATAAACACAGCTTCTGATCCACATTTTCTTCCATATTTCCTCATGTTTTCTCCATTTTTAAAATCATAACACTTTATCATCAATATCAAATTTCTAATAAAATGTTCACCAAGATTAGTCAGAATTCTGAAATCAATAATGTTAAATGTATAGTATTTATGCAGGAAGTCAAGTTGCAATTTTGTTAAACAAGCAATGATAGAAAAAAATTTAAATTCAAATTTCCCACATTTCATTTACATCTTTAAAAAAAATCACATAGCAGGATAAGGGAACCTTATATATATATATATGCATTTGTATAGTACATTTAAAACTTATCATATACATATAACACCTGTGCTTTTGTTTAATTTGTCTCCCTGTATTTTCTTTTTGTTTATCATGAGTTATACACTTTTTCTTTGTTTTGTGTTTTACTTTTTTTTGTTTAATGATGCATGCATATATGTTTCATATATATTTGAATGTCAGGGCCTTTTACAGCTGACTAAACATGATAAACTGTATGGGTTTTTCCCATTGTTGAAAGCCTTTCAGTGACCCACAACTAGTACTGCTTATATCCACATCATTTGAACTCTGGTGGATAGTTGTTTCATTGGCAATCATACCACATCTACTTATTTTTATATTAATATAATGTACATGCTGTTATTGATTTGTCCCACAAGAATCTAAAGAATACAGAATTACAAATTTATTTACAAAAAAGAGGCCCTGGTGGGCATTCTGTTACAACACATTCAATATTGATTCAAGATATAACAATTATAAAATTGATCTGCTTTCAACACTTTCAGGTTAAATTTGCTGCTTACCGTATTGCAGCAGTATATATATATATATATCAAATATTTTTTTTAACAGGAACTTCATCATGTCCATTTGGAAATATTCTTGTATCATATAAAGGGTTAGTAAAAGTAAGGCTTAGTACCATAGGATTGGAATGAAAATCACCTTGTAACAAGCCAAAAACAAATTACTATTCTAGTGAATTTTGCATGAAATTTCATGGGTACGAGGACTAGTTACAGTCACTTAAAAATCTAGCAACTAACTAAATAATAGAAATTTCCACATAATCTAAACATTAAGCCTCTTTCAACTGATTTTTATAGTTTGTTCTTATGTTGTACTGTTACACCACTGTCCCAGGTTAGGATGAGGGTTGGGATCCCGTTAACATGTTTAACCCCGCCACATTCTGTATGTATGTGCCTGTCCCAAGTCAGGAGCCTGTAATTCAGTGGTTGTCGTTTGCTTATGTGTTACATATTTGTTTTTCGTTCATTTTTTGTACATAAATTGGGCCGTTAGTTTTCTTGTTTGAATTGTTTTACATTGTCATTTCTGGGCCTTTTATAGCTGACTGTGCAGTATGGGCTTTGCTCATTGTTGAAGGCCGTACGATGACCTATAGTTGTTAATTTCTGTGTCATTTGGTCTCTTGTGGAGAGTTGTCTCATTGGCAATCATACCACATCTTCTTTTATAATTAATGTCATATTTTGCTTTTTGTGATAAGAACATTGATTGATTTGATTGATTTTTGGTGTTTTAACGCCACTTTTAAGCACCGCTTTTGGGCTATTTCGTGGCGGCCAGTTTTTATTGGTGGAGGAAGCAGGAGTGTCCGGAGAAAACCACTGACCTTCGGTAGGAAAACTGACAATCCTAGTCAATTAAGATTGGAGTCGAGTGCACCTGCACGAGCGGGGTTCGAACTCACAACCTCAGTGTTGACTGGCTAGTGATTACAGTAGTAACTACTTAGACCACTCGGCCACCGAGGCCCCTGTGGTAAGAAGAGATGACGCATGTCAAATGAACTGATCATATCTTTATTTTGTCTAATATTTCTAAGCTCTTCTTCCTTTGCTATTTAAATATGAACTAATCATGAATTTATGTCAACTAGAATCAACAAGTTACACAATATTGAAGAGGAACATAAATTCATTTTTCAAATTAATAAAAGTATTTTCTTTTCTCAAAGTGATGATGTCATGACCCTGCACATGTATCTACCAATGACATGTTAAAAAAACAAAAAAAAACGCTGCATTTCCTTGTGTAAATAAGCACAAACAAAAAGTTTTTAATAATGTAGTAAAAGAATTTGTCTGCAGATAATTTCAGTATTCCATATTTACAAGTTGTTGTTAAATGAAATTGGATACCCTACATGAATCATGCTTTTCAATAACATATGGTCAAATTGCTGAAAGAACCCCTCCTAAATTATGGAAAACTATCATTCTGCAATGACGATAATATCTTGGTTTTAATTAGATACACCCAATAGGGCTAACACCCTCATAGATATTTCCAATATTTAGAGAATGTGTCAGATCTTGCATAATAAATGCATGCTAGATGACAGTACAGTAGAATCCCTTGTGTCCGTGTGGCCGGTGATATCGCGCATTACCTGATTTCGTCATATCCGCAATGTAACACAAATAGAATCGTTCTTTTAATTGTTATAGTCGTGATAGTCTTCCGAAGGGACAATAAAGATTAAAATTGATAAGTTCAAGCTTAAATTTATAATTGTAATCCCATGATTAACCATATTTAGCCATTTTCCATAAAAAAAAATAAATCATCAGATAAAATTGATTTCATTTTGAGTCATGCAAGTCAAATTTTTTCAAAATGAAATAAAATTTGCTCCATATATATACCTGGCAATCCGTTTGGTTCAAACTGAACTATATTTCCTGTATTTAAGATTAGCTATTTTTAGAAGGCATGTGTGAAATCACCAGACATTTAAGGAACTGTCAAGACAGAAGTTTCCCTAATTTTGGACACACATTACATCAAATATTAAGGGTGAAACCATGCATAAAGAAGATTTCATGAAATTAAAGTATGTCATAAATTGTTCACACAATATTATCAGATTATTGGTTTTATGAGATTACCAATGTGAAGCCAAAAGCCTTAGGTGCGTGTATACACCGGACTGCACCATAACGGATCCTTGCAGTAGTGATTCAAATTCCCTACATTACTGTTTTTGTGTTGTTTTAATTTTCAAAATATTGTATCAGGGTTCTCACTAAGGATTCTTGTAGCGAGTCCCTCCTGGACTTTTATAACCATGGTTACAGTCCAACAGTGAGAATTAAGAAGCAGAGAAATCTAAACAATTTATTATTGAAGTCTCTGTTTCAAAATAATGCAAGGAAATGACATCAAATTTAGATCAATTTATAAACTTTTGCTTTAAAAAGATGTCTTGGCTCATTTGATACAATATTTTACAACTTGGTGCATCTTTAATAATGGACTCATCAGTTTTTTTAAATGACAGGTCTTGACAGATTGCCATGAGTCCAGGACTCGCCATAGTGAGTGCCCTGTTGTGTACATGGATTGTTACCTTCCACTTTCAGTCACATCTTCTTTGATACTGTCTATTAATAACATGTCTAATTTTTGACTAGAATAAACCAGTAAGTCACTGATGTCAAATGAGAACGTAAAACAGTTCTCTAAAGTTTTTACAAATTCTGATTGTTCTGAAGTTAAACTTTCAAAAATCTTTGTTTGACTGTAAACCATGTCAAGTAACGTTGATATTGTATCTGGCTTATCTTTATAATAGACACCAACGGAATCCAAGTCTATAATATCCCAGTCAGTTGTGCAGCTAGGAAGTTTGCGAGACCGTGTTCTACCAGGATACCTCCCATCACAGCTACGATTCGTATGTTTAATATTGACATGACATGATCTTGGAAGACTTGATTTATGAAGGTTTTCATTTTCAAGCTTTAATACTGATCGCACGTCCAATCCGTCCTGGGACTGAATTTCTTCAAATTCCATGATTGTTGTAGTAACTTTACGGTATAGGGACAGAAACTAGTAATTAATGTACAGCATGCTTATCGAGGGAATCCACACTGTTTACAATTATTTTCATGCCATTAACAGTGTTTTTTTTAATTAGATTTGTTCTCATCTGTACACCGATATAAGTTACCTGACATTTACATATTTTATAAGTAATTGGAATTTAAGGATCAAACTTTTGTTTTCTTATTTCATATAGATCTACAACGTTATATATGTCTCTGGGCCGACTGACCCACTAACTTTCCATTAGTCAAGTTGGACTTTTGTTTAGTTGTGAATTCGTCGCTCAAGTTTACAAGTAGAAAATGCAAAAAAAAAACATTTTTAGAATACTATATACATACAGATGTTAAAGTATTAACACACAGTTAGTTCGGCGCCGCACTTGAAACACTGATAGCTATGACTCTGTTGTTATCAAAATAGTAGAAACTGATAGTATATATACTGCAAAATAGTATAGATAACATTTATACATATGTAAGGGAAAGTTTCTTTACTTGAACTGGGACTATTGATCATTCGTATATTAAGAGATACAATGTACTAAAACCTTCAAATATTTACTAAAGGCAATGGCTATTTTGCCAGCTCCGGCCTCTTTTTTAAAATTAGAGCTATTTTGACGGCTCTGGCAACATAGCGATTTATATAGAGTTTTGCTATTTTGCTGGTCTTAATTCAGATTTTTCAGTATAATAATTACGAATAGAAAGAAATGCCTTTTATAGCTGACTATGCGGTATGGGTTTTGCTTTTTGTTGAAGGCCGTACGGTGACCTATAGTTGTTAAATTCTAAGTTATGTCATTTGGTCTCTGGTGGAGAGTTGTCTCATTGGCAATTATACCACATCTTCTTATTTATATATTGAGCAAATTTTGCAGGACAAGGCGGTGCAGAAATTTAACTCCAAATAAATTACAAATATAATGAAATGGTCCAAGATTAACCACAAAAATTTAAACAGATAAACATCAAATCTTTTGTTTTTTGTCTTGTAAAAGCTGCAAATAATTAAACTTGCAGAAGTCAGAATGATTATGAATACGAAATTCAAAAAACAGCTGTGTACAAAGGCGAAAATAAATTTTCCTTAATTTGTTGAAGCCACTGAAAAAATAAGCATGAGTAGCAAAAGAGAGACGAAAGATAAAAAAGGGATAATCAAACTCATAAGTCGAAAACGAACTGACAATGCCATGGCAAAAAAACGAAAGACAAAGCAACACGAACCACACAAAAAACCGGGGGTGATTTCAGGTGCTCCTGAAGGCTAAGCTGATCCTGCTCCACATGCGACACCCGCCGTGTTACTCCTATACTTTAATAAGTTATATCAATGTGATTAAGCATCACACAATAGCAGATTGGTACCCGACTCGTAGCAACAGATGAAAATCATTAGATAATCCGCAAAAAATTCTCCTACCCTCCCCCCTCGAATATAAAATAATTGTCCCCTAATATCTGAATATTAATGACAAGCTATTTTTGCAGTGTTTGCAGTTTGTCACAAAATGCAAGGAGTTTGAAGCCCTAATATACCTATGTAAGACAAAATACAGAGATATAAATACGAATGATTGAAAGTTAGATAGTCTTATGTCCTGTGAACATTTATAGGTGGTTATTTGATAGTCCAAATAATTATGACGTCTTGGAAGGCTATTTTAAATTTTTGCTTTGACGCCTTCCAGCGTCGATGTAAGGCGTCTAAGAAAAAAATATAATAGCCTTTCAAGACGTCATAATTATTTGGACTAGTTATTTGACTGATGTATAATTATTTTTGTCTTTTTGAGTTAACAGAAAAACAATTTAATTGAATTATGACAAGCATACTGTGAGGTCTGGCTCATATCATTATGTACATCTTTTTTCTTGAAATTGATACTGATAAAGAAATATTAACTACGATATATGAAAAATGTGATAATTGCAGTTTTCTTTTCGTCAACTTCCCATTATTAGGAAATAGCATTATATCTACCTCTGACAATGGCTGAAAGAATATATGAAAGATCCACAACTTACGAGAAGTCCCCAACTGATGTAAGCAGAAGTTGACAACTGTTTGATAGATATAAGAAGATGTGGTATGAGTGCCAATGAGACAACTCCCTATCCAAGTCAAAATTTATAAAAGTAAACCATTATAGGTCACAGTACGGTCTTCAACACGGAGCCTTGGCTCACACCGAACAGTAAGCTATAAAGGGCCCCAAAAAATTACTAGTGTAAAACCATTCAAACGGGAAAACCAACGGTCTAATCTATATAAAAAACGAGAAACGAGAAACACTTATGAACCACATCAACAACGACAACTACTGAACATCAGATTCCTGACTTACGACAGGTGCAAACAAATGCAGCGGGTTTAAACGTTTTAATGGTACCAAACCTTCACCCTTTTTCTGAAACAATAGTGTAACATCACAACATAGAAAGACTTGAGTATGCTTTGATTTTAACTTGTACATGTTAAACTAAAAAGCTTCCTGTATAATTGACACAATTTTATCTGACCAGTGCCAAATTATCATGGGCAAGACTCGCCGCGATATAGCCTTTTTGTGCTGATGTGGCGTAAAACAATCAACAATCAATCAATCAATCATGGGCATGACATAACAGTGTGTACAAACTGGTAATTAAGGAATTTCATGCATTAAACCAAACTGTTCTTTCCAAAGTTCTCAAGCTTAGTTCAGTTAATATTAGACTTATGTTTCAAAAGAACAGTAACCAAATGCTTGACCCATTTTCAGTTTAACAATTGCTTTGTTGTGACTTTCAACATAGCACATTCAAAATCAGTAGAGGTTTTCTTCACTCCGTAGGGCATTATCACGCCAAATGCTGTAAAAGTTTAGCCAAAATGGTTTAGAGAACACTATCCGGGAACCATAATTTCTCCTTTATTTTCTGTTGCATTAAAGAATTGAATTATCAATATTAATCTAGTAGTCTCTAATCGATACCCGTCTCAACATGATCTTTCAGCGGCTTATCTGTACTATCAGAATCAAGAAGAAGACAACTGTTGCTAGGCAGTGTAACTTGTGGCTCAGTGTTTAATAATTTATACATCTCTATACTGTCTTAAAATATCTATTGAAAGTTAAATTTTCATTAAATTGTGGATGGAAAAAGGGGTCCGAGGTTGCGGAATAGATATATCAAAATTATTTTTAAAAAAACTTGTCTGTTGCCAAGGACTATGTCTGTTGCTAAGGAAAAAAGTGAGTTGACATATTTCGTTACAGAAAATATAGAATTTTAAAATTTATAAGCCCTTAGTATTGGAAAAATATTTAACCATATTTTCAGATACAATGCACATATTTTCAGGGCAATACAATGATATTGTAATTTTCCCCTTCTGTTGTTGTTTAGCAACCTTCCCTTAGGAATGAAGACATGGAAAACTACCTTTAAAAAATATATGTAAGCTACAAATTAAACAAAATAAATGGATTCAGAAAAAGGTGGTGAACGGATCATCAGACAAATCCCATTATTTTTTATTAAAAAAATATTTGTACTTAGTTACTTAAAATTGAACTCCGTTACTAATGTATACATGTGTTGCTAAGCAATCATTTTATTTCAGATTGTTCGTTTATGACCCCAATGTGTCCTTAGAGTCTTGACTTTATAATACAAGGTTTATATTTGAATACATTAAGGAATTATATTTTCCTATAAAATATTTCATTTAGAAATTGAGCTGAACAATTGTTTAAATTTGATTTTTTGAAGGGGCCAGAAATTTACACTTTTGAATGCTTATCCAATTTATTATTTTAAATAGTTGTTTGTATCTGTACTATCAAGAATACAATAAAGGACAATAAAATTGCTATCCGGATTTTTAAATTAGGACAATTAAATGTAATGTGGTTTTTAACAGTTTTCGAAATTCAAAAACCCTACTATTCTATGTTGCCATAGCAACGCTTAAAAAAATTTGAATTGCTAAATACTGTGCAAATTATACCAAGGCAAGATGTCATCTTTACGATGAAATTTGTTGCCATGGAAACCAGTTGATTTGGAAAAATATACCATTTTCACCTTTTTTGTGTTACAACTTATGCAACACATCAGTAAACATCAATTTTATGAAAAATATTTTTTTTTACATTCCATTCAAAGCTCAGTGCTTGCTGACATGGCCTCTTGCGGCAAATATTGTATACACACTTTGGACTATAAGTGATTGCTATTTGGTATGTAGTTGCCTTGACACTCTGATATAACAATGATATATGGTATCCATGATGATTAATTCTACAGTTTTAGGGAGTATATGAGACTCTTGTATCTTTCTGGTATGTTTCAGTGACTTTGGAATTATCATTTTGTTCAAATGTCAAATAATTTTTTTTTATTTTTTTTATTTTTTTTTTAAATGTTTAAACTGGAGAATTGATATTTGGTATGCAGATACATTTACATCCCCTTATTACAAGTATATCCTTATGAAAAATATGAGGCACTCTTATTCAATAATCATGCTTCAATGACTGGAAATTTTGTATTGCTTAAAAGTCATCTTTTCTCAAAATGTATGTTAATGAAGAAATATTTCGCTTGTATTTAAAAAACAATTCCATTAAAATCCTTGCAATTTACTTTTGATAAGATTATGATGCGCCACACCCCTCTTTAATTTTCCCTGAATTTTGATTTTTTTTTTTTAATTTTCCTTTTTTAAAACCGCTTTTCGAACATTTTTACCATTGACATTTGGTTTGCAACCCTTCATAGTATAGTTTCTTCACTTTTAATGTTTTTTACTACTGATATGTAGAATAATTTTAGGCAAACTTTAAAAGCAGATGTCAACTACCATAAACATGCGGTAATCTAACAGTGTATCAATATTTCTTATTTTGATTTTGCTACAAAAGAAGCTGGCGATACATATCTTAGTGTTAACAGTTTTATTTGTTATGTCCATCTGA